ATTGTATAGGGGGTGGGGGTCCCGGGTGGGGGCGGTCAGGGGACAAGGAGTGGGGGGGAGGGGGTTGGATGGGTTGGGGTTTCTGAGGAGGGCAGTCAGGGGGCAGGAAGTGGGAGGGGGAGGATGGGGGTGGGGGCCAGGCTGTTTGGGAAGGCACAATCTTCCCTACCTGGCCCTCCATACAGTTGCGCAACCCCGATGTGGCCTTCGGGCCAAAAAGTTCTAGACAATACTTAGTCCTGGTCTAGACAATATTTAGTCCTGTCATGAGTGCAGGGGACTGGACTAGATGACCTCTCGAGGTCTCTTCCGGTCCTATGATTTTATGTGGGAACTCTGCAGAGTCCAGCTCATTCTGTAGATTTTTGCAGAATACAAAGAGCAGGTTAGAGCTGCTTTTCCTTTACAAAATGTGATGAGAGCTTTGAGAATGAAAACTGATGTCCCATGGCCTTGTTGAGCTTGCAGTTAAAAAAAAAATTTGAATCCATAGCAATGTGAACTTCTCACTGATCTGAATAATTCTCTGCTCTCTGTTTAACAAACAATTAATTAAACCTCACAGCAACCCTGTTAGGAAAGTATTATTCTACCTACCAGATAGGTGGATAAACTGACAGCAATAGTATATTGACCCTTAAACTCCTAAATCATGGGTTCAAATCCAACCCAAATCCATGGAGGCTGAAGATCATTGTTATATGAAGGCTCTTTGGTAGCCTTAGTCCTGTTCCCAGTGAAGAGATCATATTACACAGAAAGTGATTGCAAATGGCACAAATAGGCAATCTGGCTACCAGCTTCCAATACAGGCCAGGCCTGAATGGATCTGGAGACTGAACTACTCTTCCTAGTTGCGGGAGTGGTTGCTCCTATGCAGGGTAATACAGGGGTGGATGATATCAGGAAGCATGTGCTATTGCTGTTGGTATTGTGACTGTTCTGTGGATAAACAGAAGTGTTAACTCTCTAGAGCTTTCAGGCTCACACCATTCACAAGCTCAAAATTTACTTAGCGGGATGAGCACCCAGTGGCACAAACTTCAGGAATCAGAACTGCCACTCTATTCTACTACAACGAGTGAGGTTGGTTATGGAGATGGAGACCCTGTATGCACCGGGGATGGACTTCATGCAGACTCTGCACAGTCTCACAAGCGAGTTGGAGACAGACCAGGGAAGGGGGTGGATTTCTTCCCCCAACCCTCTGCATAGTTTCCCCATACAAAGGCTGTTTCTACTGTTATAATGGAGGGAGTTTGTAGATAGCAATAAGTATGTCTATGACCTATGGGCAATCACAGACCTCAGTGAAACTGATGAGCATGTTAGCTGCCTTTCATTCAGCCTAAATGGAGCAATTAAATGCCGCCTGGTTTAGTGATAGCTGAAACAATAAAATCCACTGCCCAAGTCACAGAACAGCATGGTATGGTTGCAGTAGAAGCGGAGCCTTAAGGCCAATGGCTAGAACTGAGAGCAAATGCAGAGACTGGGAACAGATTGGATTGCAGCTTCATGTCTCTGTGTGTGTCAGAAGGAGAAAGCCAAAAACAGAAAAGCAGCCAGGAGACCACAATAGAAGCGCTGGTGAGCCCTGAGAGGAAGCCAAGAGAAAGAGCTTCTTTTGGGCCGAATGGGAATTAGGAACAAGGAAAATAGCTCCTGTCTGTTCCTACCACATTCAGGAAACAGGACTTTGTGTACATTCTTTATAAATAAATAGGATTACACCCAAGAAACTACTATAATCAATTTCAGTTCCTAACGGAAACAACCCATCAAGCTCTGAAGATGGGCTGACCACTCAGGCCAAAAAAAGGCAACAGTATTTTGGCTCTATGCAGAGCAGGAGAGATCAGAGGGTGGGCAGAAGGTGCATTACAAGGGAATAGACTTGAAGGATACCATAAAACATTTAACCAGTTGCACGCTACTGGATGTATGTGGAACAAATCATTCATCAAGGGGTGCCTCATGTCACAGCTATGACACTTTGAAATGCTACTGAAATATTGCCACTTCACGCAGCAGCTCACAGGACTGGGCCCATTCCATGGCTATGCCTGTATTGCTATTCCCAGAATAACTCTTTCCAGAGACAAGACACTGAAGTGCAACTATTATGTATCACGCTGGGTGTGCAACTGTTTGGGAGGTCCAGCAGGTATTTTTTTCAAAAGAGGAATTTTTTGAAGTTATAAAATTCTTAAAATTAAAAATAAACCGCATGCTACTTTCCCACTTTCGGGGGGGGGGGGGGAAGAAGTGCAGGGGTCGGGTTGGGGGAGAAATAGCTTGTGTCATTAATTCAATATATAACACATAGTAGAGAAAGTGATTTAAAAACTCTTCTCAAAACCATATGTACTCAAAGGATATGAAATCCTCCACTCAAAAGATCTCATTTTAAAAATAATGTTGAGGTTATTTTAGTTGAAACTGCTACACTTGTTCTCACAATAATCAAAACCTGTTATCTTGGTCCTTGCAATATCTCTGACTCACAGGCTAATGATGAAAGTGTCTCACACATACATCAGTTGTTGTTTTTTTAAGATGCATAAATCATGAACTTTCAGTGCAACTTAATCTTGAACATTGCCTTTTAAAAAAGCCAAGCTAGTGATTAACTTTTAAAATACAGTATTCTATCTTCTGGTAATGCATGGAAATTACAGACACCCATCAAGAAATATGTGAACCTAGTTTCTTTTGTTGTATTATAAATTTACAACAAACTTCTATCAAAAACTATACTGAGCTTGTTTGGCAAAATACCGTAAACTCATCTCCAATGGATGCTAGTCAAATTGTGTCACAAAGATTTCAAGTGAAGCAATGCTGATTTGAACATCTCTGTGACTAAGCTACCTCCCATTATTTTTTCTTTGCTTTGGCACCATCAATCAAGCAACACTTAGAATCATAGAATCATAGAATATCAGGGTTGGAAGGGACCTCAGGAGGTCATCTAGTCCAACCCCCTGCTCAAAGCAGGACCAATTCCCAACTAAATCATCCCAGCCAGGGCTTTGTCAAGCCTGACCTTAAAAACCTCTAAGGAAGGAGATTCCATCACCTCCCTAGGTAACCCATTCCAGTGCTTCACCAACCTCCTAGTCAAAAAGTTTTTCCTAAACCTCCCCCACTGCAACTTGATACCATTACTCCTTGTTCTGTCATCTGTTACCACTGAGAACAGTCTAGATCCATCTTCTTTGGAACCCCCTTTCAGGTAGTTGAAAGCAGCTATCTGGGCTAAGTAATGCAGGGTGTACATTATACACATGAGGCCAGAGAGGATCTATAGGAGTGGGTTACCATGGCTGAGTCAAACCCAACTGGAAGAAAGCTCTTGAGTTTTAATCCTGGCTCTGCTGCTGACTCACCATGTTGCCTTAGGTAAGTCATGGGCCCAGAGATTTTTAAACTGGCTTCTAATTGTGTATGCCACTTATGTGCCCTACTGTAGAACCTCATTCTCATTTATACTTAGGCCCCTTTACACCACTCTGGCAATGTAAGGAAACCTTAAAATGGGTAAATGTAAAGGGCCCTCGAGGTAAAGGGGCCTCGGTGTCTCTGATCACTAGGACTAGATTTTCAGAAAGGTTGACTATCCACAGCTCCAAATAAGGTCAAAGGGAGCTGCCGGTTCACATTATCTCTGAAAGCCCAGGCCCTATGTGTATAAATATTAGGGACCCAAAAACGGAGGCACCTGGAATTAGAAGCCACTATTTTCAAGAGTTTAACATCTGTAAAATGGGAAGAATAACTATTATCTTGCCTAATTCACCAAGGCATTGTGAGGATTCATTAGCTATTGTTTTTCCAGTACTTTGGAAATAGAAAGTGGCAGATAAGTGCTAAGAATGAGAATCTAAACACACTCTTTTCCTTTTTAGGTCGCCACTGTGAAGTCCATCAGATGACTGGAAACTACATGTGGGAGCCAAGTACAAATACATCTTTTGACATTGGTGTGAATAAAGAGAGCCTGTTACCTCTTTGGTGGAATGGATCGGAGCCTTTGTGGGTCACCATGACGAAAGCAAAGAAGAAAGTTAATATGTATTACTGGCCTGGTTAGTATCTCTCAATGCAGTTCCTCAAAACCACCATCTAATGTTGCATCTTTAAAAATTATGGACAGCACTGTAGGATGATTCTGGAATACCTTGCAGGTATGAAATGGAAACAACAATTGCAAGTAGGTTTTTTAACACTCACACATGTCAATTCTATTTAATTTTTTAGCATTTTTGATTAAAATATGCACATGCTAAAGATTATATTAAAGTAACTATTAATGCTTTAGCTTACAAAAACAACAGGAAATAACTAAACCTTTACTTTTAATAGGAAACACTCAGTCTGCCTAGGAAACACATATGGTGTATAGAGTAAGAACAAGCACTTTTCATTGCCTCCCAGCATTGACACTCTGGTTACCTTTTCCAGACCTGAAGAAGAGCTCTGTGAAGCTCAAAAGCTTATCCCTTCCCCCAACAGAAGTTGGTCCAATAAAAGTTATTACCTCCCCCACCTTGTGTGTCTCATATCCTGGGACCAACATAGCTACAACACCACCGCAAACATCATCGCTATCAGATGGAAATGTTACATATATGCCCCATGGGCAAGTTACAAATACACATATGCAAGGCACTTAACTTTTCACTTCGTGACTTTTTATCATTTTAACACTGTAGTCCAAGCATTGCATTAACATACTTTTATATACATATGATTTACTAGAGGATCACACATCAGAATCACAGAGTTGGAAATCTCTAGTATCAGTGGGCACAGCAGGAGAAACTGACCCACTTGTTCGGGCTCACTGCCACTTTATCTCATCCCCTCACACTACAGTCACGTCCTCCTAGCACAATGCTGCATAACAACATTCAAGAGAAAGGACAATACTTCACAGGAACAGACCAAAATGGCAACACAAGATAGTTTATGTTCCACATGCTGACAGTCAGAGAAATTAGCCAAATCACTGCTATGTTACTGAGCAAAGCAGGAAACTTTGTATTGAAACATTGTTCTGTGGGCCCAATTACACAAATATTTGCTACCAGCAGCAGTGCCTACTTTCTGAGCACTCAAAACCAAAGCCTATTTTTATGGAAATGCACTGTGGAATTTAACACGTATGAAACCAATATGCTTCTGTAGAAATGTAATAGTCATCTATAGAAATTGCTCTATAGAATTTAATAATTTGTAAAGGCTTTTATTTTTTTAAACATCCTACAGAATTTTATAGCATGGATTTAATTCTCTTAAATTCTATAGGAAGCTTAAAAAAACCTATGGAAATCTTATCATTTTCTATTGCATGCCACAGGACTTTTCCCTAAGGGAGACCTCTACCATCTCTTTCACTCTATGCTGAGTGTGTTGTTTTTGAGCAATGTTCTCTGAGGAAGAGATGGGCATGGGACATATATACTATGCCCAGCAGAAAACTAACGGATTTTGGAATGTACCTACTTTTTTCCATTGATCGTGCTGTATATCCTGGAGAGTTAGTAGTGCATCTATGAACGTGTTTTACCTGTGGCACCTGCTGCTAGGCACCATGAGTGAAATCCTGTCCCTAGTGAAATCATGGGGCGTTTTGCCATTGACTTCAGTAGTGCCAGGATTTCACTCACAGATTAGGATTGCTATAATATTTCAATTATCTATAGCCCTTACAGCACGCATCTTAGGTAGAGTTATTATGGCAAAGCACTTAAGCAGATGCTTAATTGTAAGCATATGAATAATCCCAATGAAAACATCTACTTTAACGGCGGGGCCAAGGTGACCCTTAAGCTAATAGGATTCTATGGAAAAGTAATAGGGTTCTATAGAATTCACTCTAAATACAATAGAATATAATAAAGAATGAGATTTTTTTAACCATTTTATAGAATTCCCTAGCAAGGTATAGAATGCTCTTTTAAATTCTATGGAGCTGTTAACATTAAAAAGTAGGGCTGTCAAGCGATTAAAAAAATTAATCGTGATTTATCTGCGATTAAAAAAATAAAATTGCATTGTTAAACCATTTCTTTAAATATTTTTGGATGTTTTCTACATTTTCAAATAAATTGATTTCAATTACAACACAGAATACAAAGTGTACAGTGCACACTTAATATTGTTATTTTTTATTACAAATTTTGCACTGTAAAAAAAAAAAGAAATAGTATTTTTCAATTCACCTAATACAGGTACTGTAGTGCAATCTCTTTATCATGAAAGTTGAACTTACAAATGTAGAATTATGTACAAAAAAATAACTGCACTCAAAAATAAAATAATGTCAGACTTTAGAGCCTACAAGTCCACTGAGTCCTACTTTAGCCAATCGCTCAGACAAACAAGTTTGGTCACAATTTGCAGGAGATAATGCTGCCTGCTTCTTTTTTATGTCACCTGAAAGTGAGAACAGGCATTCGCATGGCACTGTTGTAGCTGGAGTCACAAGATATTTATGTGCA